GCAATCGAGTCGACAGTGTGCTGTGCCAGAGGGCGGTGGACATTATTTGTGTTATTGTTTACTTCAGTTTAAACTACTCGCCAGTTCAGAGTGGTAGAGCAGAGCGAAAAGTCGTCTTGTGAAATATCTTGATTATTTAGAAGAGCAGTCATGGAGGCCTCATCATCATCTTTTCCTCGAGAAATCACACCACCAGCATATGGAGTGAGGATATTTTCCTTGTCTGAACAGCAGTTTATCCACGCCGGCCACCTCTTTGACACCATGATGGCAGACGAGGACATCCGACGGACAGGTGCATTTATTGTAAGTAACTCTCATTTCAAATACCGATAGATTGGACTGGTTTCCCTACAAAAAATAAGATCACTTTAAAAAGATCGTGACGATGACACCAGGGAGCTAACCTAAAAAAAACACAAAAAAACCACTTCAGTGTTGTGTCCAGAAGCAGTCCCTAGATGTGAATAAATCTGAGCCCTGTGTATGCTAAAATGTTTTGTCTCCCCTTCCTTTTGGTTGAATTTGTTCTCAAAGTAACGGTTTGGAATTTGTTTTCCGAATTTTATGTGTTGTTCTTTCCAACTTGAGGAAAATTGACACAGTAGCGCGTGGTCAACTGCGGGCATGGCCTGGGCGCCTCGCTCGTACTTGGTCAACTGCGCGCAGTTCCAGTGGAGGACAACGTGCTCCCTAGGCTTGGGGGATTTCCTGCTGGAGATTACCGGTCGTAAAGCGGGAGTGACAACAACATTGATGCCCAGCCAGAGAGATGGAAACTTAATTTTTTATGTGTAATTCCTGTTTCAGGGCAGGCTCGAGGACTCTGCCGGGCCTTCAGATCAGGATACCCTGAACTGTGTGAATATTGTCAAAGACACACTGCGCACAGATGCTAACAACCCAGAGACAGGGAGACCCTTCTTCGATCCGAGCCTTCAACTCAGACGAAACGTTTGGCCAGAGAAGCATGTGTACGAGATGACTCCTGCTTCCAATAAGGAGACGGACTCGGACCAGGTGATGGAGTTGAGGAAGATGTTCAAGAGAAAAATTCTGAGACATGACTTCCTCAGCAACAGCAAAGAAAAGAAGCAGACTGACCTGTAAGTTACACTACCTGATTTATATTCTTTAGGGTGCTCCCGCATTGTCTTCTAATCAGCTTGCTTTCTTGACCGAATTCTCTGAGACGTGGTGCAATTATTGTGAGGACTCCAGTTATTCTGAAAGGGGAAATGAAATACGTTGTAAACCTAATAATTAGACCCAAACTGACAACAGTAAATTAATAATACAACTTTGATTGGCTAGAGTTGCAAAGTTATGGTTTATTTGATTTACTAGTATTATAAAAATATTATTAATTCAATCCAATGTCAGTTGGGCTCTAATAATTATAAGGTTTACAAGGTATTACACTTCCCACATTTCTAAATAACATGAGTTGTACCAAGAATTGCAACATGTCTCAGCTAATTCGGTCTAGAAAGCAGGCTGAGTAGAAGACAATGCTTGAGCACCCATACAAACCCCCCCAAAAAAGGGTACTTTTGTGTAAGCATCTTTTTTATTCTACTTGAAAAAGGGAGAAGACGTACAATGCCTCTGGTGTTAATGGGGTGCTGACTGAATTCTTCGAACAAGTGCTAAAGAGAAGGAAAAGAATACTGTACGCAGTCAACATGACGCTGGAAAAGGACTTGAGGACAACAAAGGATCTGGCCATGAGTGAAATGAGATCTCTCATGGAGCATCTCCCTGGTGGTCCTCGTGCGGGCATAAATTGTCCTGCAGTATCCATCGGCCAGGAGGGGGCCACCTTTAATCCGCATATTGAGTACTGTGCGTTCCAGGGCGTTGATCGCCTCATTGCTGGCGCACCCAAACTCTGGTAAATACTTGGGATCCTTCCTTACAACAATGACAATCATTCCTCATGCAATTCTGTCTCAGCATATGATTTTGAATTTCTTTTTTTTTATTTTCAGGTTCATTATCCCACCCAGGTTTTATTCAGCCTACTTACAATTAATAAAGAAAACGGGTGTAGACGAATTTGACATGTTCTGTAATTCCCTACTTCTCCACAACAAAATGTTTTTGGATCCGCGAACAGTGATACAGTATGGCATTCCCGTCTTTACGGTAAGTTGTTTTTTTTTTTTCTCCCTTCCTGATGTTCAGAGATTTGTTGTGCAATCATTTTATGCTGGTGAACTGAAAGTAATAGTATGTATCCTTTCTTCTTAGGTGGTTCAGCAGCCTGGTGACATTGTCTACCTATTGCCTCATACTATTCACTGGGGCATAAATTTAGGTTTGAACATCAACGAAAGTATGAACATTGCCTCAGCTTCCTGGGCTGTGTCAGGGATGCTTGCTCCAGGGAGTTGCTCATGTACCAAGTAAGCGACTTGCGCCCAATAACATACCTTTTT